AAGGTACATGTCTGACTGACAGGGATGTGAAAGCCCCCTGATGTCTGTTTGATCAAGGACAGAGCTCCTCGAGTCTGGATTGTTTTTGGTGTGATTGAGACTGGAGGGTCACTCTCCACAGAGCACATCAGGCTGTCATTGTTCTTGGAGCTTTGTTGGTTGTCTCGTTGGGGCAAAGTTTTTCTTTCGTGTGCCCTTGGTCTTGTGTGTAGTGTGTTAACTGTTCTCATTGTTGACTTGACTGTGACGGACGCTATGGGACAGTCCCCTTCTTCTCCACTAGACCTTTGCCTAGCCCACCAAAAGGATGTGCGAGCTGCAATCGAGGGGCTTGCTTGCTGTGAGTGAGGCCATCATCATCTCAGTGCTGATGTGCTGGTACTTGGATTGTCTGTGTAAATGTCATCTGTTTCTGCTACTCACCTCCCTTATTTTCCTGGGGAGAAGGAGAGAGAGGCACAGCAAGGGCCACCTCCCTCCCTCCCTAGCTCTCTTGCTATCAGGACTGCAGGCAGCTGGCTGCTCTCACGAGGGTGGGGGTGCGTGCTCTCAGTACAGGCGGGCTAAGATTCTCATGTCCTGCTCTGTACAGGACAATTGCTGCCTGCAACTGACAAAACTGTGTGAACACTGAACAGGGAATCTGACTTTAGTCAGAGGAGTTAACAAAACTTTTTTTCAGGAACACTGGCAGCCAAGGACATACTTTATGACCACTGCTCCCCCTCCCTTCCTTTACTGTGATAACTTCAAGGTCTCTTCTGCCAGCCAGGAATTTCTCTTGTTAACCCTTCTCTGTCCTGATTGTGAAACCTCAGTAACCTCCCCCCCCCCACTTCATCCCCTACAGACAAAGAAAAGCTAAAACCAGGATTCTTAAATGTAAATAAGAACTTAGACGCCTTTTTCCAGGTGGCTTTATCAACTACAAAAACTTAAGAAAACACAGAGTTAGGATATATGACCATCTGACAGAGACTAAGTAGTCATAAAACTCCCCAAACTCCCCAAACCCCAGAGACAGCTCATAAACTCCTAAATACGGTTGCTGAACAAATGAGAAATAAAGATAACATGAAAAACTACTGATATGAACCTAAAAGAGGGATGCAGGTGGTGGGAGATGAATTATGTGGTCTGTATTAGCCTCACAAAGAAAGGCCTGTGCTCCTTCCAACCTCCCTGCTGTGTGTGAGAGGTTTGGAAAGAGCCCCCCTGCCGAGGCTTGTAAACTTCATTTAAATAAACCTTGCTTTTGCAAATTAAACCAGTTAAAGTCACCTTGGACCACAAGACCACTGAAGCAATGGGTAGCATATAACTTTGGTCCTTGGCCACAGCCCTCTGTTGTTCTGACATTGGCTGTGGGCTCAGTGCACAGTATAATGGAGTAGCATTGGTATCAAAGGAGGGCCTTAGAATCTGAAACTGGTCTATCCACAATGACTGTAAAAATTCAGAAATAATCTCATTGGAGTTATCCCATGGATAAGACATTTGAGCCTCAGTTGGCCTCAAAATGAGGCTTAGGTATGATACTGTTTTATTCTGAAAAACACTCAAGTGGTATATTGGAAACAAAGCTTGATTTAGACTGCTACTCATATTGAAACAATTACAACATACCAACAATAGTATCCATGAAAACTGAGACCGAGGTACCACTCAGTGTAGAAATAGTACAAGAGAACACAGACTCAAAGAAAATAAGCAACCTGGTTGAGTTTCTGGGTGGACAAACACATCCAACTAAGATTATGAAGAACGAGGTAAATACTAAAGATAGAGAGTAAAGGATAGAAACAGGCACCTATCAATTCCCAGATGTAAAGTTCTTTGTGTTCAGTTCTAAGACATTGTATGTTAACAAGCCACAAGGTTGTTTTGTTTTGTTTCATTTTCAGAAAACAATAACCTTCAAAATAGGCAGTGGGACCTGACCAGATAGTAATAAGTACGAGAGAATGCTCAGGTAGAGAATTTAAAATATCTGTTTTAATGGAACTCAGTGGCCTCTAAGAAAACTCATGTCAAAGCTGAACAGAAACTGTTAAAAGAATCTAACAGAAATCCATGAGATAGGTGAAAACAGCAAGGCAGTGACTAAGCAAGGTAATTTGCCAATCTTCTACACAAACAGAAACATCAATTTAAACAGGTATTGAAAGGGCAAACTTTGATATTACCACAAGAGCTAAGTTGAGAGATCATAAGGCATACACTTAGGGTAACAAAAAAAAAGAGACAATGAAAATAAAGGAAAGCCAAATCACTGCCATTTTACATCTCCAAGTAGTCCAACAAGGAAAAAAAATCTCATGTTTGGGAGTGAGAAAAAGAATTAAAAGCAGGACACAGACATGAAACCCAGTAACAGACCTAACTAACAGACTTGCCAAAGTAATATCTAGTGTTTGAATAAGGTCCAACACTCCTACCTATAGACTGAAATGCTGCAAATACTTTAGAATACAAAGAAATAAGACTGCCTTCTTTCTTGTTGATTTTCTCAAAGAACCAACTCTTCGTTTTATTGATTCTTTGTATTGTTCTCTTTGCTTCTATTTTGTTGATTTTAGCTCTCAGTTTGATTAGTTCCTGTCATCTACTCCTCCTCGGTAGGTTTTCTTCTTTTTGTTCTAGAGCTTTCACATCTGCTGAGAAGTTGGTAGTGTGAGATTTCTCCACATTCTTTATGTGGGCACTTAGTGCTATGAACTTTCCTCTTAGCACTGCTTTCATAGTGTCCCATAAGTTTGGATATGTTGTGAATTCATTTTCATTGAATTCTAGGAAGTCTTTAATTTCTTTATTTCTTCCTTGACCCAGTGGTGATTCCACTGAGTGTTGTTCAGTTTCCATGAGTTTGTAGGCTTTATGTAATTTGTGTTGTTGTTGAATTCTAACTTTATGTTGTGGTGATTGGGTAAGATACAGAGTGTTATTCCAAGTTTTTTGTATCCATTGAGATTTGCTTTGTGACTGAGTATGTGGTCAGTTTTAGAGCAGAATCCATGAGGTGCTGAGAAGAAGGTATATTCTTTTGTGTTTGGGTGAAATGTTATATAGATGTCTCTTAAGTCCATTTTATTCATAACAACTGTTAGTTCTCTTATTTCTATGTTAAGTTTCTGTCTGGAAGACCTATCCATTGGTGAGAGTGTGGTGTTGAAGTCTCCCACATTTAGTGTGTGGGGTTTGATGTGTGATTTGAGCGTTAGGAGTGTTTCTTTTACAAATGTAGGTGCCCTTATCTCTGGGGCATAAATATTAAGAAATGAGACATCATCTTGATGGATGGTTCTTGTGATGAATATGAAATGTCCTTCACCATCTCTTTTGATTAATTTTAGCTTGAAGTCTATTTTGTTAGAGATTAGGATAGATATACCAGCTTGTTTCTTAGGCTCATTTGACCAGAAAATCTTTTCTCAACCCTTTACTCTGAGATAGTGTCTGTCTTTGAAGTTGAGGTGTGTTTCTTTTATGCAGCAGAAAGATGGGTCCTGTTTTTGTATACTTTCTGTTAGCCTGTTTTGTTTTTTTTACAGGTGTAAAGAGAGTAATGACCAGTGATTGATAATTCTTGTTATTTTTGTTTTTGTTGGTGGTAGTGTGTGTGTGTTTCCTTTCTTTGGGATTTGCTGGTGTGAGATTATCTATAGCCTGTATTTTCTTGGGTGCAGTTAACTTCTTTGGGTTGGAGTTTTCCTTGTAGGCTCAGAATTTATTTATTTTACTTGGAATTTAAGGAAATATAGTTGTAAATAGTGTCAGATTATGAAAACTAGAATAAATAATATTGTATCACTGTCCAGATAACCTCATAAACCAACAATTTACCTTACCATCCTTAAATTTCAGGAAGCAAGACTTGACCTATTAGTCAAAATATATAGTCACAACTTACCAGTAATCTAGATGCGAGAACTCTCCAAGAATTTTAAACAGTTTCTTTAAGTACACGCAATGATCTTGAAGAAATATAGGCAACCATTTCATTCCTCTAACAGAGAAGTAACAAAAATAAAAATAATTACTACTTCTATGAGAATTTCCTATGTCATGTTTTTGTTTTGTTTTCTCAAGACAAGGTTTCTTTGTGTAGCACTAGCTGTACTGGATCTTGCTTTGTAGACCAGGCTGGCCTTGAACTCACAGAAATCCACCTGCCTCTGCCTCCCAGGTGCAGTGATTAAAGATGTGTGCTACCCCTGCCCAGCTCAATTGCTTGTTTTGATCATATTTACCCTTCCTTCCCTACTTCCCCCAGCTCTTTCCAGAGCCACACACCCTACCTTTACCACGATACTTTATGTCCTTTCATTGCTCATCAAGGCAAATTTGTGTTGTCCAAGTATCTTTGGATATGTAGCTTTCTCCTAGAACATAGAAAAACAAATTAAAATGAGTTGAATAATTCACTCTAAAAAGTTAAAAACACAATGGAAGATATCGATAATAGGATAGGTCAAGTAGAATAGAATTAGCTTATTCAAATGCAGGGTATTTTAAAGTGTTCTGTTGGAGGAGAAAAGACTACAAATGATGATCTATTCTTGGCATGGCAGAATACACCTTTAATATTAACACCTGGGAAGAAAAGGAAGTTGGATTTACCTGTTTGAGGTCAATTAGGTCTACATAGCAAGTTAAGGACAACCAGGGCTCCATAGTAAACTGTGTTTCACAAAATAAATTAATAATAGTAAGATTAAAAATTATGATTAAACCTTATGGAATCCTGGAAGACATTAGGGTGAATGTTCAGGTTACTGTGGTTCAAGTGATCCTTGAAAGTACCAAAGAGTTAGAAAGTTTGAAAAAATAATTATAAAAGAAACATTCACAAACCTAAAAATGGATATAAAAACCCAAATAAGGAGAAGTGTCAAGCCACTAGTCAAGATTAACTCAAATAAAATTACATCAAGACACATTATGACTAAACTCTGACAGATAGAAAGTAAACACAACTTTTTGCACATTGCAAGAGACAAGAAACAAATAGTTTATGCGGGACCCCACCTTTTCTGTCAGCTAATTTCTCAACTGAAGTCTTACAACTCAGGAGAGTCTGTTCTGGATTTCTTTAGTTCTGAAGGAAAAAATAGAAAAAGAAACCTACTAAATAAGAATTACATATTCAGCAACACTATCCTTAAGAAGAAAATATAGAAGCTTTCCAAAATACAAAAGATGAGATAATGTTTCTCTGCAAAACCCTCTGTCTAATAAAAGCCACTAGAGGTTCTTAAAACCAAAAAAGCATGTTAGTGAGTAAGGAAACGTAGGCAAGCATAAACCTACTGGTGAGAATGATTACATAAACAAATTCAAAATGTTCTAATATTGCAAGTGTAATATATAAACCATTCATATCCTTAGTATAAGGACTAAACAGAACTCAAAATAATAACTACCTTAGCAATATTAAACAATTAAGAATGTAGAAACACAAAATTGAATTCCAGATAATAAAAATGTAATGAATAATAGAATGCAGCCATACAATTTTCTCATATTTTCACTATTTGAGGTTAACATTTTCCTTTGTAAGAAAGGTCAAATGGTCCACCAGCAAACTATTAGAACTAACGGAAGAATAAAGTATGGTGTTCTCTCTCTCTCTCTCTCTCTCTCTCTCTCTCTCTCTCTCTCTCTGTGTGTGTATGTGTGTGTGTGTGTGTGTGTGTGTGTGTGTGCGTGTATGTGTGCAAAACCAGTGCACTACTAGAAGCCAAAAGCAAATTCACTGAGGTAGGAATTAGCAATCCAATTCACTAAAATTCAAAAATACTTAAAAATA